ATCAGGTGAAGATTCAACCACAGTTTCCTCCTCACCTTTATCCTTTGGATTCTGAGAATGACAAGGAAGAAATTAGGCATGGAAAATAAGAGTATGTCCATATATACTTGGTGGGACAACAAGCTTGATTGATTTAAATAAAATTAAAAGAAAAAATATAAAAGATAATAATAATTTTAGCATTTATTGAGCTCTTAGCCTATATGAGATAATGTGTTAAGAATGTTCCCACCTCTTTGTTATAGGTGTCTTATCATATTCATTTTGAAGAGGAAATGAAAGCATAAAAAGCATAAAAACTTAAATAACGTATCTTAGTTCATATAAATCCCAGATATTTAGATGTGTAGTTGCATTCATGTCATTTGACAATAAAGTCTCTTAATTCCAACATATGCTATAGTTATTTTAAAATTTCTTAGTGCTTTCATTTATTAACGCAAAAATACTTCCAATAGACATAAGTCTAGAGTATTCTACTCTAAATAATTTGTAGAACTAGAAATGTTATTTATCATAGCATTCAAATTTTAGACATTTATTTTCTAGCATTTCTTTTGAATACTATAAATTTATCATTGGAAAAGTAGCAATGCTTTTTAAAAGCATTTAACATTCTTCATGTTTTTCAGTACATTTCAATTTTGGGGGAAAATTAACTTGGCCTGATAAAAGTCTCCTAAATTGATTCTAAGTTGTTTAGCTAAACATAAAATTCAGATAATGTTTGCTTGTACACTACTTAAAGTATTTTGCTGTATTCATCATTAATGGCTGTAATATTCCCAATTTAAAAAAGGCAGGTGATGTTGTCTTGCTGTATGATGAATTCTGTCCCCAGGATGTGGTTAAAAACAAAACTGTTCAAAATGAATGAATAGCCTGACCTGCCCCTGGGCAGATAGACAAACTGGGAAGTAATGTGTGTCCATCCATTGTCATCTTAGCTAATTCCTTGGTCTTAAAGCATTAGATAGATTTGGATTTTACCAGTTTTTAAAAAATGTTATTCAGATGGACCTGTTCTTTATTGTGCTCAGAATAAAGAACATAATTTGAAATATAAGAATGGGCAACTGAAAGGAAGCCCTATGTACATTAACCCTATCTTGGAATAGTTTATATAAATAGTTTTAACAATGTTGATCCTAAGCTGTAGTTTATTTATTCCTTGGAACTTGGCAAATTTTAAAGAGCTCTAATAAAAATGATTCTTCTCAGTGGTTTCTTTGTGATCATGAACTCAGCAAATAGCCATTGACATACATGTCCAACGGCACCACACCAAATATGGGTGGTCAGTGGGCAGGTTGTTCAAAACCACCTGGGGCACTTATAGTCAAAATATTCCTGGGTATCTCCCCCAGAGATGCTGATAGAGCAGGCTTGAAGCCATGCCATGGAACTTCTGTATTCTGAGAAGTCCATGGTTAGGAATCCTTTAGAAGAATAGTTTTCAACTGGGGACAGTGTTTGCCAGTGTGTGGAGTAATGTTTGGTTTTCACAGCTGAGAAGGTATGTGTGCTACTGGTATCTAATAGATAGAGGCCTGAGATACAAAGCACAAGAAACACTCCTGTACCAAAAGAAATTACTCAATCTAAAACATGAATATTGCCAAGATTAAGAAACACTGGTCTAGAGAATATAAAGATATATCCTCAGAGAGTTCCCAATTAACAAGGGTAAATAAAAGATACACAAACATATCATTCATTCATAAATAAATGTCAGTCCAAAAATCAAACCAAAATATAAGCAAAATTTCATAACTGTCTTAGTTATTTTATGATATGACTAGAGACAGACAGTCTAGTTAAAAAGCTATGTGAAAACCCGGCTGGTGGGCTCAGTGGTTGAGCTTCGACCTATGAACCAGGAGGTCATGGTTTTATTCCCAGTCAGGGCACAGGCCTGGGTTGCGGGCTCAATGCCCAGTATTAGGCATGCAGGAGGCAGCAATCAATGTTTCTCTCTCAACAATGTTTCTATCTCCCTATCCCTCTCTCTTCCTCTCTAAAATCAATTTAAAAAATAAATAAAAACTATGTGAAAGAGACTTTGAAGCGTTATCTGCAATTGATAAGATACTTGTATTGGGAATTATCTGAATCGGGCAGTGGTTCTCAAACTTGGCTGCGCATTAGAATCACCTGGGAATCTTTTTAAAATCCTGATTTCTGGGCCTCATCCTCCGGAAATTCTGTTTGTTACTAATGTTGTGGCCCCACCCCATAACAAAGAAACAGAATTTCCGGAGGATGAGGCCCAGAAACCAGGATTTGAAAAAGATTCCCAGGTGATTCTAATGTGCAGCCAAGGTTGAGAACCACTGGAATAGGGTATGCCTGTACTTGAAAAAAAATTAAAATCTTTAACGGTTCCTGAAATTTTAATAATGAGAAAAACAAATTTACTTATTGACAGCAGAAATTCTTTTTTAAATACTGTGAAGTGAAAACAGGGCCACTTCCATAAGTGACATTTAAATAAGAAAATTGACAAGAAAACCTAGAAAGAGCTCTGACGATTGTGTGTGTGTATGTGTATGTGTATGTGTGTGTGTGTGTGTGTGTGGTTTTTTTGTTTTGTCTACATACTGGTATTACTCTCACTGGTTCTCTTAGTTTTGTTACATCCCTTGAGATCAGCTGCTTACAGGCAGGACATATGTAATAAATTACTGAAAGTGATTTAATAACCAATTAAGTCATCAAATACCCCCATGGCAACAATAAACATTTAATTTTCAGAGAGAGATAAGGATAGCTATGTTGAAGACCTTTGCTTTCACAGTGACAGCTACGTTTTCAAACCTTGGAGCATTCTACTATTTTTATCAAACAAGCAGCAGCAGACTGATTTACTGAAAACAGCAAAATAACCCACACATGTACTCTCTTTTAGCTATCTCTTGCATCTCTGATGATAACCAGCCAGCAGAAATGACCGAATGCCTCAGGCAGGCAAATGGAATGCCTCCCCTTGTGCAGGAATTCACGGTCCCATGTCGAGACGACTGCACCTTCACGGCTTGGTCCAAGTTTACATCCTGCTCCACCAATTGTGGAACAACCCGAAGCAGACGGCGACAGCTCACAGGTAAGTGTGCTTTCCATGTCTGAGCTGCAGCCCAGGGCTACACTCCTGAACTTTCCAAGGACAATGTAAGCTCCAGAAAGACAGGAAACTGTATCGGGTCTCCCCTCTTCCACCCCTCCAGGCCATTATCACCCTCTGTGCCTATGCTGAGCACGTCCTATGTACTCAATTAATATTTGTGAAATGAATAACAATGGGAACCATTCTATAGCAATGACATTCTCTATACAGCTTTATCATCTTTGTATGGGGTGGGGAAAAGCGGGTTTATAGTTGTGAGTACGTGAAACAGAGTTTATTCTTGTGTTATTTTTTATTCTTCTATTATTTTCCATATGAACAACTGTAAGCCTACTATTGCCCCACCTTGTAGTCATAAATGGCAATATATTTACCAATTTTCTGGGAGTAGTTAATTGTGCCAAGATCCCAGCAAGGTTGAAAACAGTAGGTGATTTGTAAAGAACATCAAAGGTATATCTAACCTATGTCATAGTCTTTTGCCATTACCTCATGAGCAATTTAGCATTTAAAAATTTTAGTATTATGAGGTAAAAATCGAGTTACATACATAGATTCTGCTTTTGTGGTCTATTATTAATTACTGATTCTGTTTGCATCCATGAAATTTAATGAAAATTAAAATAATGATTAGTTTAATCAAGGTCCTGTAGCATTTTTGCCTGCAAAGTACAAATACCTGGAGCATAGTGTATTTTACTACTTGTCCAAGTAGACATACCGGAACTTCTCTTAATTGTACGTGTATTTGTATACGTAGAAAATTTAATTCGGGCAACGGGAAGCCAAAGGAAAAATGCCAAACTAATCATTGGAATAATAAAATTGGTGTTGACCTTGAAGAACTCAGCACAATGAGTAGTACTTATTGGTAGTTCAAGTGCCAATTCTCTTGTTTTTAAGACCCCTTAGTTGGAATGCATTGCTTGTAAGATTGTTTTAAATGTAACTCACTCTAATAGATTTACTTCATGGGTGAGAGCCTTGAAGAGTATTTCTGCATACAAGTCAGGAGCTCATTCATAAGTGTAGGTGAAACTTATGATCACATATAAAAACATCAAATGAAATGTGCTGTACTTTGTGCTTTCTCTTCTATAAAAAATCTTTGCATATGTAATTTCAAGCAACATTGCTTATGTTTCTAAGATAAAATGATATAATGGGGTACATGTGTATGACAGGAATAGTTTCAAATTCACAGGGCAACGTAAGTGAAACTTGGTTTGTATGTTCATACATCATGATGTAGAAGACGTTATTCTGGTTCACCTATATCTTTGAGATGAATGAGAATCTCCTATAAAGGGGGAAAATGTTTTCATTCATGACCAGTTTTTCCTTGCCTTAAAGTTTGCTAATGATATTTTATACTTGCAAACTGAGAAAGGAAAATATTGAAAATTCTAGGATATATTTTTTTTCATTTTACAACCAGCATATTTTTTTTGTGTGAATTGTCAAAACTTTAATGAATCTGATTTATTTAAAATATATTTTTATGTAAATATTGAACATGTTTCTGCAAATTCTATCTTAAAATTACTTGTACTAAAAAGTATTTAGAATGTCTCTTCTAAATTAACCGCCATGCTTTTGGCTAGCTGAATGATCTTTTGTGTGTCTTAACATCTAAGTTATACCAAAATAACTTCTCAACTTATTTAAATATGAGCTTTGCAAAACCAGTCAAATAAATCATTTAGTATTTTTGTTGAAAAAAAGGTACTGAATTGAAAATTTCAACTTCTGAAGAATTATTTTGATTGTGATATACCGCCTGTATTTTGCTTTTCTCCATGTAATTTGGTAGTAAATTTAATAAGCAGTTGAGAGCATGAATGACAATAAGAGGCATGAACTTAGACCATAAAACAATGTGCCTCTTTAACACAGCTGCACTTGGAGAGGCACACACACAAATACAAGCCTCTGCATAAAATAGGGGACCATCAAGGGTGATTTTTCTTTTTTTTACATTTTAAACAGAAGAATTCAAAATCTGGGTGTTTGTGCATTGATTCTAAACTAAATCATCACAGGTTTTAGATTGGTAATCAGGGCAGTTGTTTTAATAATGCTGGAAATAATCCATTACATAAAAGATATGCCCAGATTTTAATATATATAGTAACTAGATAACCAATACAAACATATTTAGTACTTTAGTTCTGTTTTTGGTGGGATCAGTCACAAATTTCCCTCTGACTTAAGGAGAAAAATGTCTTTAGAGTTGCAGTAGGGATTGATTTTTTTTAAAAAAAGATTAGTGGTAGCTAATTTGAATCCAAAGGTTAATACTGATATTGACTAGAAGATAATCAAAGTAATTTTGTTCTTTATTGTGAGAACCATTTCTGCATTAACTAACTTGCTCAAGTTGGTCAAACAGTGATTCCATGTAGTTCAGAAAGATCATAAATATAGAGAGTGTATATTGTACAGAATATTTGTTCTGCCAGGAACTTTAGGTTGCCTTGTTGATTAACATGTTCTTTCTTCCTCTTCTCTCTCTTTTCATCTTACTTACTCTCTTCTTCCCTTCTCTCTCCTTCATTCTCCCTTAAAATTTTCTTGTTTCAATTATTGTATAAACATTTTTTGTTGATCACTTATGTGTGTGAGGCTTTGAGAATATTATAAGGGAATTAGACATGATCCTAATTTAGAGCTTGCAGTCTAATGGGAGATGGAGATTTTGACCAGTATAGTACCTGCTCAGTGGTACAACACAGTGCGGTATGCTCCAATAGCTGTTATAAAGGGTGTTGTATTGCTTTCTTAATGCTGCTGTTACAAATTACCACAAATGTGTTGGCTTAAAACAATACACATGTGTTATCTTACAGCTCTGTAGGTCTGAGGTCAGACATGGATTTCATAGGGTTGAAAACAAGATCTTGGCAGGATTGAATTCCTTTCAAGAGGCACTAAGAGAAAATCTGTTTGCTTTCCTTTTCCAGCTTCTGTAGGCTGCTCACATTCCTTGGCTCATGGCTCTCCCTTCCTCTGACTTGAAATCTAGTAACATTGCTTCTCTGTGTCCACTCTTCCACAGTCGCATTTCTCTCTGACTTTCTAGTCAATCAGGAAAGGTCCTCTTGATTTTAGGACCATGTGATTAGGTTAGGCCCAACCATATAATACAGACTGATTTCAGCTCAAAAACCTATAGTTTCATTCACATCTGCAGAGTTTATTTTGCCATTTAATGGAGCATGTTTACTGGTTCAGGAATTAGGATGGGAACTTCCTTGGAGAGCCATTATTTCACTACAACTAACTACATGAGAAGAACACCTCTTCTAGACCTGAGATGAGGAGCATATTCCATGTGGCTTTCTGGAGGGAGCAGTCTATTAGTTTGACCTGAAGAACATGGAGGCAGTAACTAGGCTTTGGAGGGAGAATGGAACGGTTGAGAATATCTGGAGTGGGGCCATGCAAAGGCCAGAAGCCAAATGGATAATGTTTAGGAACTGAAAGGTTCTCAATATTACTAGCTTGTCACATGTGTTGACAAAAGAAGTCTCCAGACCTGTAGAGAATTTTTATAAGAGGGTTTTTTTTTGTTTGTTTGTTTGTTTTTTTGTGTGTGTGTGTGTATTTTGAGCCCAAGCTGATAACATATGCCAGGGAGCAAGATCTCAGAAGCTCCAAGCAGTTTCTTGTATGCATTTGAAATTAAGGAGAGAACATAAGAAAGGTTATATGAGGGTTGAGAAAAGCAAGGCAGGGATGGATTACAAGATTACATGCTTTCCTAAGGGTGCTCACACCTTGACGGGTTTTGGTTCAGTCCTTTCAAAGATGTCTGAACTAGATTCACAAGAACAATGGACAGGGTTTGCTTAAAAACCTTTCCCTAAAGAAGTCATAGGCCTGGGGCATGACTACCCACCATGACCTGCCCAGTTAGGAATTTATGACTTATTACAGCCTTTTTTTTTGTCCAAACATGCTAGGGGCAGAGTAATCCAATGCAGGCAGGAGACAGACATTTATGGGCTCAGATCCTATGGTCCTTGATAACCATGGTAAGGAGGCCAGATTTCATTCCATGAACTGTGATAAGTCACTGGAGAGTGTAAGGTAGATGGATGATGTGATCAGATTTCAATCTTTGTAAGCTGGTCCTGACTGCAGTGAGGCAATAGACTGAAGGGAATGAGGCAGAGTGGCAATACGATTTTGGACAAAGCCATTGTAGTGATTTAAGCTGATGATTTGGAGGTGAGCTAAGTATGGGTGGCATTGGCCATAATGGAAACATTGAACTAATTCAAGAGATATATAGGTATTTGGAATGATAGGTCATTGCCATTAAATAGATACAGGTATACAACAGAATGATTTAAGTATGACAAGTTTTGGACTTGGTCATGTTGATATAATTGGGAAATAAAGGAGAAAGAGATACTAAGAGGATGAGTGTGGGTTTTTCCAGGTTGAATCTGATTGGCCTTTTAGGTGTAGATTTCTAGTCTGTGGCTCGGACGAGAAAGTATGGGTTGGACAAGAAGTATGGGCTGAAGATAATAATGATGGATTTATGAGTTCTAGATAGTTATTTAAACATTATGGTGTTGAAAATTTAGGATCAGAAAAGACAATCTAGGGCAGTGCCCCCAGGAAGCCCATCAGTCAGTTAAGGGAGGTATAGAGGAGGAAAAATTTAAAAAAAAACACAAAAAACAAGTAAGGTGTTACCAGATAAATAGTGGAGAGGTGGGATAAGGGTGAGGGACAAAAAAGGTAAGGTGTGATAGAACTTGGAAAGGATATTTTAAGAATGATGGTAAAGTCTCACTCTGAACTGTCATTAAACAACTCTGCAA